AGGATGCTACGAAGTGTTAGTTTGAACTACTAAGAGTCTGGCTCACCACTTACTGAATTGACAGAATGTGAAAGGTGCAAGTTTAGGGGAGAAAATTAGGCATTTGGTTTTAAATATATAGGGATCAATTTTTGTCTTTAGACACATAATAGGGATGTTGAATAGGCAGTTTGCTGTCTCCTCTGGAAAGCCAAAAAGAGGGCAAGACTGGAAATAGACATCTGGGTGGTGTCATCATAGAAACACAATATAAAACCCCAAAGCTGAATTATTTCACTTGGGGTCTCTGTATTGATAAGAGAAATGAGGACAGAATTCTGGAGCTACTGCTGCTATTGAAGTTCATGGATGAACAAGAATCAAAATCAGAGATGGAGAAAGAGGTTAAACCAGATCATAGGTCTAAGAAGCTAACTTGTGGGTGGACACTGTCAACTTCTTAATTGATGATAGGTCTAGCAGGGTGATAACTAAGAATTGGATATCAGATTTGACAACTGGGAAGCTATCAGATCTTAGCTGAGCAGAACCATAACATGATGAATAAAGCCTTCCCACAAGGGCTCAATATGGTTAGATGAAGCATTGGAGAAAACAAGCATGGCAACTCTTTCAACAGAAGAGACATTTTTGAAATCATATCAGCTACTTGTTTTCACATGTAAGGCAATCATAGATGACTTTAAAATAGACCCCAAAGAGTCTCTGTTGTCTAAAGATAGAATTAATATAGACACATTTTATGAAAGTGACATAGAAGACTGGACTTTATCCAAATGAAGCTTTGGTTCCCTTAAATAGCTTTTTGTTCCAAATTAGCTGAAGAATTTTAGGAGCTAATGAGATCATTCAATGGTTAATGTGCTTGCATGGCAGGTGTTTAGGTCCCCAGAAGCCCACATACAAATGTCCAGTTGGCATATTGACCTGCTTGTAATTCCAGTCTTGGAAGATGGAGAAAGAATCCCCAAAGACAAGCTGTCTAGCAAGACTAGCCATATCCGAATTCCTGGTTTGACTAAGAGACTCTGCTTCAATGAATAAGGTGAAAGCTATTTAGGATGGTTCTGACATCAATATCCGGCTTCCACATGCATGTGCACCCACGTGCATTCCTACCCACACATATGTGCACCCCCACACGTGCAAAAACAAGTCTGTGCATCTGTGCATATATGAGTGCATGTGCACACCCCCCCCAATAAAACCTAGGGGAGGGGATATTCATAGACTACTTGATATGATTAAATCTCTTTGAGGAAAAGTCATATTGCTGTCACAAAGCAATGCTCATTCTGTTGGTTGATTGTAATGGAAAAGAATAAGAACCTGATAGCTCAATAAACAGAAGATTAAATCTCATTGCAATAACAGTTACCACTTGTTGTAAAGAAATTGTGAGTTTTGTAATGTATCATTTTTCTATTGCTATGCAATTGGGTAACAGAGATTTTTAATCTTTTAAAATTAGCAAATGTAGAAGTAAAGTATTGCTATGATAACTATTCAAATATTAACTAATTTTTGTATTTAATGGAAAATCATTAATAACCAGTTTTTTTAGTGTTGGTATTGATGACTTTAATAGTCCCAATCCCCATTAGTTTCTGTGAGAGAAAGTTAAAAGAAACTGAAGTAATGTTTCCTACACAAGAAATCTTTGCATCTCATTCATAGCATGCTCCATCTACTTTATTCAGCCACCCTCAGCTCCTTCTGCTCCATTACTAAAAGTCCAATGCGTTTGTATAAATTGTACTTTAAAAATTAAAGCCAAAGTCGTGTGTTTCTTGTGTAGCTTACAGTCTTCTCTTAGTATGACTTTATTGCCCTCAACATTTTCTTGTAAACTACTGGGCATGGGGAAACGATTTCTTTTGTAACTGATACCTAAATTCCTCTTCTGCTTTAAGCATTCAATTTGCACAGTAGAGACCTGTAATTTAAGACTTGTAGCTATATCACAAAGTACAGCTGTTTATACTGATCTCTAATTTGCTGAGTGGTACTGGCTGTAATTTAAATTTTTTTCATGTTTTTAACTACCATGCAAGTCAGTATATATCAGAAGCCTTTGTATATTGACAGAGGCTGGGGAAAGGATGCCTTGTTTTGATTTCAGATAAGCATTCGCTTTTCAGGTCAGCAGGTGCAAGGCAGCCCATTCATAATACTTGCTTCAAATCAATAATAGTCATTGGATAGAAATATCTTGCTATTATACAGGAACCTGATTTATCTTTGCAAGCACAATGGACTTTAAAATCTCTATTATTAGCTAATGTTAAAGGTGAGACTTTCTTCAGAACAAAATATATTCTGCTGGCATACATTTTGGTTGTTTTACTAGTGTGAATGTTTACTAACTTTCTTAGTAGTAAAAGAACACTTTACTACTTACTGGCATAGGATGGAGTTATGCTCAGTGGAAACTCTGATGTGGCAAATGCATGTTCCATTCAAAAGACACTTGATAATGAGTGTGATTCTTTCCTTTGCATTAAGTTTCACTTATTTTGAAATAAATAAGTCTCAAAATAACCACAAGATAAAAATGGACTCTAATTTGTCCTGTTTCAGATAACTAGGCAAATCTCATACCCAAAACAAGTGTTAGCTGACTGTATATGCAACAATTATAAGAAGTTACCTGAATTTTTACATTATAAACTTTTACATATAAGCTTTAGCTTCAGTTAACTTCAGGCAGAAAGCCAGCACATCAGTTCAAACAAAGTGCATGAGTAAAATTTAGTTTTACAACAGAAGTGTGGCTATTAATTAAAACTCCTCTCAGGTTCAGAAGCTATAGTAGTCTCTAATAAAATTTAAGGGATTAGTGACCAGAAGAGAAAAGTGGAAAAAAAATTAAACTATGGCAATGGTGACTCCATTTGCAAAAATAAATATTTGACCTCTATGGTAAATTTGATCTTTAGACTGCTAATTGTTATTATTGCTTATTTTGTTTCATGGGTCACTAAGAATACATTGCTATCATGCTGAAGTCCCAAACTCCTCCTCATGCACTATTTGACTAGAACTATCCTTTGTGACTTAGGAAAGGCAGTTATCTTTATCTGTTTTAGAGACAAGGACAGTAAGGTTTATAGAGAGATGACCTCTCAGTATCAGAGACTGAACTTAGGGAGGGATCAATTAGCCACAAAAGTTTATCATCAACAGTGTTCTCCCCCACCTCACCCCCTCCAGTGGCTTAAAGCATGAATGGATACTTCTCAAGGGTATTTAATTCATTCAGGCTGAATGTTATAGTAGAAGAAACTTGTATGTTGTTCTTTCATAGACCAAAAATGGAAGACTCCATCTCACTATTAATCATCTTAGCCACAGCCTTGATACAAATGTCGTTAGTGAATTGTGCCCCTTGCCCCCGATGAAAAGATGGGGAACACAGTCTCTACAGCGATATCCTCCGGAAATACTGGAACCCCCAAATTGGCTTCTGTAAATACAACAGTTTCTTTCCCAAACTTCAACTCAAGAACTACTTTCCAAGCACCATGGACTATTGCTGTCACTACAGGATAGAAATGCTTGACACCTGGCTTTTCTATGGAGGACTTTGCCACACACCCACCCTCCTTATGTCTCAGGACTGACCAGGACTGACATCTGGCACTTACCTGTCAGGGATGCCCAGGCCAGAAGCTCTCAATGCCAGCCCAAGACTTTGGGAAAAGGGAAGAAAACAAAGCAAAATAACTTACCGCTTTGGCCCAGTCCAAGAACAAGTGAAAACAGCCAGGCCGCCTGGAGAACCAAGACAGGACCTCGCTGGCAGTTGTGCAGGCAGAGCAGTGCAGCAGTCAGAAAAGCCAGGGCCGAGTCGCACATAATGCAAAGCAGCCCGCCCCGCGCCAGCTGCCTGGCCGCTTTCCTGAAGCGCACTCGCGACTTGGGGGCGCACCTTGGGGCCCGCGGTCCGAGAATCCCTAGGATCTTTTCCGCAGGCCGGTCTGACCCACCCAGGGGCTCCGAGTAGGCGATACAGGTACGCGGGCCTGAGCAGCTCTCTGCATCTCAGGGCCCCAGCGGCCCTCCCAGCTCCGCTCGGCGGGCCCCACGGTCTCAACCAAAATCACCTCCTCGGACAGCCGATGGCCCGCGGCGGCGAAGCGAGTGAGGGCTCCACAGTACGCTCGGGACAAAGAAAAGAGCTTTTGTTCCTCTCCAGCGGATGGGGCTCTGCTGCATAAATCAGCTTAGCGAAGAGCCAAACACAATCAAACCCAAACAAAGCCCGAGGCTGGGGGGAAAACCACCCTAATGTAATTCACAGGGTGATGCTGCATTAGTGGGAGGGGACGGCTAGAAGGCCAAGGGGGTGGGAGGGGAGTCGCTGGCGCATCTGTCCGTGCGAGCTTCTTCCACAGGTGGGCAGGGAGGCCAACTCCACTTAGTCTCAGCAAGCCAAGGGCGTCAGCGTCCCGATTGGCGGGAGAGGAGGCTCGAGTGCCAGCAGCTGGGGAAACGGCTCCACGAGCACCCTAGGAGCCCGGGTCTGTGCCCTTAGGCACCCAGCAAGGCATCATCGCTGATTAACGGGCTGGAAGGGGAGGTTCCACAATCCTTGCCGGGAGGGAGTTGCGTACCCTTGTCCTTTAGGACTCAGTCGGCTCAGGCGTCTGGCCACCCAGAACCCTGGCAGCTGATGCTCCCTGGGCTGTACCCGGAGAGAATGAGAGGGAAGCGAGGCAGGGATGGGGTGCTCTAGTTCTGTGGGTCCCCCCAGAGGGGGCCTTCCAACCTTGGGGTGGCTGGGTGTGCTCAGAGCTGAGAGTTGCTAGGAAACCGCCCCACGCTACAGTGCTCCTTGCACTGGTAGCCAGCAAGCGCCGCAGCGGCCCAGGGCAGCAGCAACCGCCGCAGCGCAGCAGAAGCAGCAACAGCTTCAGCGTGGGCGGGACATTGGTGAGGCATGAAGTCACTGCGGCCCACACTCGCTCTTTGTTTTGCTCACTCCAGCTCTTTTTCTCCCCCTCGAATCTGATAACTGCCATTCCCATCGTTCTCAAGAATTCCTAGTGCGTATCACCCCAACAGGAATCGCATGTTGAGTTTTTTTTTTTCCCCTCGTTCCCTGGAATCCTGAACCCCAACGCTCTCATAACGGGTGCAGTGGGAGACTTTGCTCAGCCCGAGTGGCAGCTGTGACCCCCAACATTTCATCCTCGTGCTGCATGCTTCTTTGTTCAGGAGTACTCACTGGTCTGCAGCTGCTGCATACAAAGTGGAGTTCAGGGGCCTCTCCCCGCACCCAATACTCTGCTCTTGGAGTGAGTAGTGCTGACAGCCTTAAGAGCTCGCCCTGTGTCCGATTCCAAATCTGTCAGGAGTCTCCCCTTGCAGAGTCTGACAAGACTTACTCTAGTGGCAGAGAGGTTTCACTGTTCCTTTTTGTGGACCCCCAGCCCGGAAAGGGACAGCTTAGCTTTTTCCCAGGGTCTATTGGCTCTTTGGCCTTTTGGTTATGGTGGATCTTTTGACCTTAAACACCACCTTTCCAGTAAAGGGTACCAAGAAGTTACAGATGACGGCAGAGGAGTGAGTGAGGAGCCAAGAGAAGTGATGGATGGGAGGCCCTTTGTGCAGGCTTGCGATTCAGACTTTTGTGTGAGGCTAGAGCATTGCTAAGCTTTACAGGCAAGGAAGTAGAGCTGCCTCACCAGGTCCTGTCAGTGACAATGCCACCTTAACCAGAAGGAAGGAACCCAGACCTCTGGGTTTGGGAAAGAGCACCTTTTCCAGTTTGATACTGGACAACGGTGGCTCTCAGTTTCCGCTGGGGCAGAAGTAATTTCAGCGTCTTGAAGTTTGACTTTTTTTTAGAGGCTTACAGACATCAGACCAGTCCAGCCAGGTCAAGGTAAAGTATAAGGGAGTTTCCCTCCTTATTTAATTGTTTCCGTCTTCCTATTTGGAGTAAAGAAAACAAGTAGGAGGCTCCCCCCTCTTAAAAATTTCTTCTTTCTGTTTTCTAATTGTTAACAGTGAATGGAAAGTACCTGGTTAATAAACCACAACATCGAAAACTCCCCTTTCTTCAGGTGTGGACTGCACGTTGGCCTGGCAATAAAGCCAGGAACCTAGAAAAGTGCCCTAGATCTATTAAGGAGATCTGTTTGAGAAGCTAAAGGGGCAATCCAAACCTTAATGACTGATGTCAGTCAACACAACTCTAAGCCACTGTTCTTTTAGCAAGTAAAACACACTGCAGCCTCATTTCATTTTCAAACTCTCATTCTTTGATTTTTCAAATTTCTTCATAGATGAGTTGAAACGTCTATGAAGAGCTTGCAAAGTGGCTGAGATAGGGCAGAGCACAAACCTAGCATAGGCAAGATGTGGCTAGAGACTATTCAGCTGTGAAGTGTGTTTATTTTCTTGAGATTATGTGACAAACCTAGGCAATGCAGCAACCCTTGAGACACTGCAACGTCCCAACAAAGAAAATGAAATAGTCTCAAGTGTGTGTGTGTCCAGTCTGCGTTGTAATGTTACTGATAGATTAAAGTTGCAGTCACATGCTTTTACCTCTAGTTGGTAATACTGGATCAGAAATGGCAGTTACAATATTAAATGAGTCAGAGCTTGTACAATAAGAATGGATATAATACTGTGAAAGTGATGAGGTATATAACTTTATGTTGTTAGGTGTTGATATACTTTACATATGAACTCAAACCAACTGTGTGGAAAGATGAAAACAATGAAACATCTGTTGGGAAAGTTTGAAAGTCATTCAAAAGAAACCCATTTTTGGCCATGAAATCCATGGAAATAAATGCCAGTGTTTGGGGTAGAATGTGTAGTTAGTAAAGTCTATGTCACACAGCATGAGGTCCCGAGTTTGGATCCCCAGAACTTACATAAAAAGTCTGGCACAGAACTCTTCCCCTTAGCCTCAGGAGGAGGGGGCCAGACAGATCCCTGAAGCTCATTGGCCAGCCATTCTTGCTGAATCAATGAGTTCCAGGTTCAATGAGAAGGCTCGTTTTTTAAAAAACAAAAGATGGTGAGAAATTGAGAGAAGCACCCAATGTTAACCTCCATCCACTGTCCACAGGCATGCACACACACATGCATATGTATGTCAAGATACATGTACACGCACCAACACCAACAAGTTATCTCAACTGTTTCCTGTTGGTGTACCATAAATACTCTCACAAATCAACTCAAGAAAGGGTTTGTTAAGCTCTAAATTCCAGGTGACAGTCCTTTATTTCAAGAGGAGTCAAGGTGGCAAACACTTGAAGCAATGAATCATCCAGGCCAGGCTTAAGTACTCAGAGCACCCTCTTTTCATTCAGTCCAGGGCTAGTACATAATATGGTGCTGCCCACATCCAGGGTGACTCTTCCCACATCAATGAACCCAAATAAGAAAATTCCTCATAGGCATACCCTATCTAGACAATTCCTCATTGTGACTCCTTTATCAGGTGAATCTAGATTGTGTCAAGTTAACAATTAAAACTAACAACCACTACACAAGTACATATATTACACAGGCACCACCCATACATACAGCCAAAACTCCAAAATGCCAATTTTTATGGAGTTATTGAATAAGCACAGCATTGCTTGCCACTACTCCCCAACTGGGAAGAGGCATTAACTCTGGTTACCAAAAAAAAGTAAGATAATATACTAGACATTAGACTGTGAGCTTACAGGTTATTTATGAGGATGTTATCTGAACATTTTTGGCTGTGAAGATGTAATTAATTACTCCTGAAATTCTGCATTTCATCCTTGAGTTTTCTTTTAATAAATTTCACAAGTGACCTAGGAGCAAAGTTTACTTGTATTCAATAAATGCCACTGGCTACACAGCTTATAATTTCTCTTGTAAAAAATGAACATGATACAGTAAAGAAATACAGTATTATCTCCATTACGTTACCTGAAGAATTTTAACAGAGAAAAATCTTCAAAATGATGACTAATTCCTGTTTTCTATAATGTTCCTCAGTTTTGCTTTGAAATTTCTGACAGCTAATTTTTCATCATTTGTGGTAATGAGAGCAAATGAAATTCAAAGATAGCCTAAAATAACATTCTAACTATTCATTCCAGCATTTGAATCATTAGTTAATAAGTCATAAAATTAGATGACTTAAGCTTCTACCCTACTCCTTTAACCTTAGTTTCTTGGCAATGCAGTTTATGGTAAGAATGAATAATCTATGTGGGTAGCAGGAGTGACAGACACATCTGAGAGACTTTTATTGAGTATGTAAACTTGAAACTGATTTTGCCCAAATGATTGACTTTATACTCGCATCTACAGCCATATTAACACTACAATATTATGTCTTTTGAAGTTGAAGCTAGAGCTACTTGGTAGCTTTTTGGTGTGTGGTCACAAGTTGTCTATAAGCTTCCTCATCTACAGTTCATAAGAGATGAAAAGTGATCAGAAAATCGGACTATGTTATGATGATAATGTCTAGCTACTTCTGATGAAGCACATAAACCACTGAAAAGTACTCATCTCTACTATTTTGTGAACTGAAGACTTCCTACCACATAACCATCATAGAGTATTCACAAACTCTGATTCTTTCTCTGTTCCAGGAGATTTTGAATTAGTTGGTCTTGTATACAGCCCAACAGCTGTCTAAGTAAGCTCTTAGAATAGATTTTATATGCTCATGACTACTGAAGCCCCTTGATAATGGCTAAATAAGGAGTTCTCAAAGTCTTCATCAATACTTAGAAACAAAGTCTGTAAGGTACAATTAAAAAAATGCTTGTGTAGAGTGGAACCAGTGTCTCTTACAAAGGTAAATGATGGCTGACTAAGGCTATGATCTGCTAATATTTTCTGAAACAAAATTCTATGATCAAGCTTGAACAACTTTGAGTTAAAAGTTAAACTGTTTTTAGAGAAATTCCCAGAAGCTTGAGTAGGCCAACATGCTTTTGATTTTGAGAAACTTTATTCCAAGACCATCATCCAATACATACTGCTCAGTTGCTTTCCTTGTACAAATGTAGAAACTGAGGCCCAAACAGGCAAAGAGAACAGCTTTGTTTCTTTAAGAGAATTCTTGGGCATGCATAAATCAGAGCTCTAATTTATTAGAACACCATATATCAGTGATGACTTTTGGTTTCAAGTAATAGAATCATATTATGAGTGTTATAAGTTATTATTTTTAACGAGAAGAAGTTGGGAGCTTATGGAATTAGCATCAAGCTGGTATACCAGGGTTGAATAAGGCCACAGAACAAAGGAGACATTGGCTTATTGTGTTAGTTAGGGTTTCTATTGCTGTGAAAATCACCTTGACCATGGAAACTCTTATAAAGAAAAACATTTTATTGGGACTGGTTTACAGTTCAGAGGTTTAGTACATTGTCATCATGGTAGGAAACATGGTGGCATGCAGGTAGACATGGTGTGGAGAGGTAACTGAGAGTTCTACGTCTGGATCTCAAGGCAACAGGAAGAGAGGATGAGCCGCTGGGCCTGGTTTGAGCATCTGAAAACTCAAAGCCCATCCTCAGTGACATACTTCCCTTAGCAAGGCCACACCTCCTTATATTTAAAATATAAGTTGTTTTTGAAATATTTTATCTGTGCACAGTCTAATTCCAGCTTTCTCTTATCCATTTTTAGCATGCAGCAAACTGATGCTTACTTAGCCTTTAATTCATCTTTATTGGGGATTCTAGAAATGTGAAATGTTTGAATTCATCTAAAAAATTTGGGAAATTCTTTATTGGCTCAAGCCTATAGCAAGTGTTATCAGGTTGCCTGTTGTCTGATCTGGCTAACTGTATAGCTTGAATTGCCAGTGAATGGGTACTGTTTAAACTGCAGCTAACCAGATAGGGAGCGAGGGAGTTCCCTGTTCCTTGAATGGAATCACTTGAGACCTTGTGTTCTACAGTATTTTTGGAATAGTTTTCAAAACTAATTTTCTATCTAGCATAGGTTAATGTTAATAAAATAAGATGAATATTAGAATAATGGAAGTCACTAAAATGTCAATTTGCTATATAAGTTTCTGAAAACTTTCCGTCTTTATGTGGTTTTCCTGAACCAGGAAGAATGGTCTCTCAGGCAATTCTTAGACAGTAAAAGGAACACACATCACATCACAGTTTGAACAACGCTGAGTACATTTCCCCTAAACTCCCCCTTGAAAATAAACTGTAGTAGATTCATGCATATCAGTAGTTGTCTCCCTCATTTCTCCACTGTTCTCTGTTATTTCCTTGTCTCAAGGGGGAACTAAAATAACACGAGTGATGAATCTAATTGAGACTAACCTTTAGTGTTCTGAATATGAAAATTTGAATTTTATTCTTGTATATCTATAAAACAACCACAGGAAGAAAAAAATCACAAAAACTTTGAACAATAAAAAGTCTAATTTGAACCTGTTACTTAGTAGCTGTTGAGTCATGGGCAAGTTATTTATTTTCTGTATGCCTCAGTTTACTCATTTTTGCGATTATGACATTAAAATAATTACCAGAATTGCAAATGAAAATGATACATCATGACATTTCTATTATGATGGCTAAAATCCCTAACACTTACAGCACCAAATTCTGGTGAGGATGTGAAGCAACAGGAGCTACTACCATTCACTGCTGTTGAGAATCCAAAGTGCCATGACTACTCCTTAGACAGTCTGGCATTTCTTATAAACCAAATGAACCACTACTTATATTCATTGCTATTTATCCAAATAAGTTGAAAGCTTTGTCTGCACAGAACCAGCACATGGGTGTTTATATCTCCTTTAATCATCATTTCCCAAACTTGGAAGCATTCAGGATGTCTGTCCTTCAAAGGCTGTGAAATGCTGTCTTCTAAATATAAAACAACCAGTGTAGTAATGAG